CAGGCCCGCGGGGGCAAGATACCGAAGGACAGACGCTGCTGATCGAGGACGTTCCCGAGACGGTGGAGCCGGTGCTGGAGCATCTCCTGGGCAGGAACACCACGAGGAAGGGCAGGTCAGCACACCCCGCTCACCGGTGCTGCGGAGTTTCACCTGCTCCGGGCAACCGCTGCTGCCCCAAAATGCGAATTGCTGCCCCTTTGCATGATGGCAGCTGGGGCCTGATCCTTCCCCACGCACGCAAGAGCCTCTGGCCACATCCCCGTCTTCTCCCGGAACTTCCCAGTGGGGACACTCGTAGCTGATGTGACGTTTTGGACCGTTCTGGGCTGCGCCGGCAATAAGGTCCAACAAACCGGGAGGGTTCTCCTGGCAGACACAAGCTAGTCCCTGATGGCGCTTTTGCTGAGAACCCCCCTGCCCCACCTCCCGCGCCCCACACGGCGCTGGCAGCCCCACTGCAGAGAGCCGTCCGAGAGCTGCGGGCAGGGCAGCTGCCAGCTCCTTCTGCTCCTCCAGCCTTCACCCTGCCAGGGCTCTTCAGGCGCTTCTGCCTTTTCCTGACCACAGAAATACATCCCCAGGGGGTGGGAACAGCACGTGGGTCGAGAGTTTCTGTCTGTGACAACTTACTGCCGGGGTACGCAAATTAATTTGTTTAACTGAACAGATACATTAGGATAGGAGAGAAAGAAGTGGAGTATCACCCGCGCTTCCGCCTGATTCTGCACACCAAGAACTTCAACCCTCACTACAAGCCAGAGGTGCAGGCTCAGTGCACCCTGATCAACTTCTTGGTGACCCGGGAGGGGCTGGAGGACCAGCTCCTGGCCGCTGTGGTGGCCAAAGAGCGGCCGGACCTGGAGACCCTGAAGGTACGAACCCAGCTGCCAGTGAGACGGGAGCGAGGGCGGCCCAGGGGGGCTGCGGTGGCTTTGCCGGCACCCATTGGGGCGATGTCACCTCCCTGGGGGAGCCAGAGCGTCCCCTCCGCCCTCCTCTTGCACTGGCGCTTTGGTGACAGCGTGAAAAACGTGGCTGGTTTCTCAGAGAGCTGCAGCTCAGCTGACAGGTACCTCGGCGTGCTGCTGGGGCTGCGTTTGTGGAGGGGGGGGTTTATGATCAGGAGAAGATAAAACCAGGGGAGCTGCTGGTGGCCCAGAGCCTGCGGCACGCAGCTCGCTGGGGAGCGCCGAGCCTCAGCCGCGGCACCGACCCCGAGTTCTGCCGCGGCCTCTTGGCTGCCGTGCGACTCTCCGGGGCGTTGCAGGCAAACCTCACAAAGAGCCAGAACGAGTTCAAGATCAAGCTGAAGGAGCTGGAGGACTCCCTGCTCGCCCGGCTGTCGGCTGCCGGCGGGGACTTCCTGGGGGACACGGCGCTGGTGGAGAACCTGGAAACGACAAAGCGCACAGCCACGGAAATTGAGGAAAAAGTGAGTGAGGTGCCCCGGAGCTGCGGTGCCACGGGCAGCGGGAGAGCTCTCGGGCCTCGCCGGGCACCCAGCGCTCAGCAGGAGCTTGGGGGCTGCTTCGGCGTGTGCCGGGCTGCTGGATGACACCCACCGTCCTGTGCGTCGAGGTGAGAGAAGCTAAAGCCACCGAAATCCAAATAAATGTCGCTAGAGAAAACTACAGGCCAGCGGCAGAGCGAGCGTCCCTGCTGTACTTCATCCTGAGCGACCTCAACACCATCAACCCCATGTACCAGTTCTCCCTCAAGGTAGACGCGGAGCAGGGAGGGAACCGGTTGGGGGATCTCGGAGATTTGGGGTTTCAGCATTTATGCTGTAACAAAACACCCGGCAGCCCAGGGACTGAGCTGCCCCCCCGGCTCTTCCTCAGGCATTCCACGGGGTCTTCGAGAAGGCCATTCAGCGCACGGCCCCCAGCGACGACGCCAAGCAGAGGGTGATGAACCTGACGGATGAGATCACCTACTCGGTCTACTCCTACACCGCACGGGGACTCTTTGAGAGAGACAAACTCATTTTCCTGGCCCAGGTTGCCTTCCAGGTAATACATGGGGATGTCTGGGGCTGCTGCTGTGTAAGACTGGGCGTGGGTTTATGCTGGGTCAGACAGGTCGTTCTCTCACTTCTGTGCGGCTGCTGGATGCGCAGCAGCCCCTCAACTTGTGCTCTCAACTCGCCAGGTCCTGGCGATCAAGAAAGAAGTGAACCCGGTGGAGCTGGACTTTCTCCTGCGCTTCCCTTCCAAGGCCGGTGTCACGTCCCCCGTGGACTTCCTGCAGCCCCAGGGCTGGGGCGGCATCAAGGTTGGTCGGGTCAGGGCCAAGGGCAGCAGGGCTGGGGGTTCCCTGGGGCCTGGCCGCGGCACAGCACCAGCCCCGCGCGCGCCCGGCTCCGTGGGCACCCCCCAGCCTGGGGTCCCCGCGGGCGAGCAGAGCCCAGGAGTGATCTCCCCGCTCGGCCCGACCTGAAGGTGCTCTCGGAAATGGAAGCGTTCAAGAACTTGGACAGCGACATCGAGGGCTCAGCAAAGCGCTGGAGAAAGCTTGTGGAGTCCGAGGTGCCGGAGAAGGAGGCGTTCCCCAAGGAGTGGAAGAACAAGTCGTCCCTGCAGAAGCTGTGCGTGCTGCGGTGCCTGCGGCCGGACAGGATGTCCTACGCCATCAGGTGCGCCCCTGCCCACCCGGCACGAGCCCCCCCGTGCCCAGCGACCGCGTGCACTCCGAACTCGCGCTACGGTTTTATTCTTCTGCAGGAACTTTGTGGAAGAGAAGATGGGGAGCAAGTTTGTGGAAGGCAGGAGCACTGACCTCTTCGAGGTGTACAAGGAGAGCAGCCCCTCCACGCCCCTGTTCTTCATTCTCTCCCCGGGCGTGGACCCGCTGGAGGACGTGGAGGCCCTGGGTGAGCCCCTGCCCACGGGCTGCCGCCGGCCCCTCTGTGCCCGTACGGATGAAAAAGGCGTCTCACGCCGTGGCGGCTCCCTCCCCTCCCCAGGCAAAAAGCTGAACTTCACCATCGACAACGGGAGGATCCACAACGTGTCGCTGGGGCAGGGCCAGGAGGTGGTGGCCGAACAGGCCCTGGAGCTGGCCGCCGCGCAGGGACACTGGGTCATCCTGCAGGTGAGGGGGGCACAAGGGCGCAGCTCCCCCAGCCTCTGCACCCCCGGGGACACCGAGGCGGTGTCTGGGATGGCCAAAGCTCAGGGAGTGTCGGCAGCGGCTCCGCTCCCCTGTTCTGGGTCCAGGCTTGTCCTCGGGGAGGGCAGAGCCGGGAGCAGGGAGGGGACACAGGGGGCTGGAGCGGGGGGGGGCACAGCGCCCTCGCTCCCTGCAGTGGGGGGACGCGGGGCCAGCAGGCGAGGGCTGGGCACGACGGGCCCTTACCCTCACCCCACCCCGTGGGCAAGGCTGGAGGCGAGGGGCACCCAGGACGGACAGACCGTCGGCACGCCCCAAACCTGCTCCCCGGGGAGGCACCGTGGGAATGGGGGGGACGAGCCCTCCCCGAGGCTGCCCTTCAGCCCAAGCAGCGCAGGAGCGGTTCCTGTTGCAGAACATCCACCTGGTGGCCCGGTGGCTGGGCGCGCTGGAGCAGGCGGTGGAGCGGCACAGCCGGGGCAGCCACAGTGAGTACCGGGTGTTCCTGAGCGCCGAGGCAGCCCCCAGCCCCGGGGCGCACGTCATCCCGCAGGGGCTGCTGGAGAACGCCATCAAAATCACCAACGAGCCGCCGGCGGGCATGGAGGCCAACCTGCACAAAGCCCTCGACCTCTTCACACAGGTGCCTGACCCACGGGCCGAGGGTGTCCCTCGGGGGTGTCACTGCAGACACAGATGCTGAGCCGGGGGTCAGACACCCCCCAGGAAGGCCCAGAGCCCCCATTTGCCAGGACGTGGTTCAGGGGTGACCGGAGGTGCCCGAGGGTCCCCAAACCCTCCCCGAGGCTGAACGTGGAGCCGCTGCCCTGGTGCCACAAAGGCTCCCTGACTGTCAGCGGGGCAGGGGGGGATCTTTTTATAAACAAGCAAGTGCAAAAATTAACCAATTAGCAAATCTTTAAAAGATAGTTTTATGCTTTTTTTTTTAATAACCTTCGGTTCTTTGCCATCACCTGTTAAGTTCCCTCACAGCAACATGCACCCATCGCCGACCCGCTCCCCTTTCCATCCCGCGGCAGGACACGCTGGAGACGTGCAGCAAAGAAACGGAGTTCAAGTGCATCTTGTTTGCGCTCTGTTACTTCCACGCGGTGGTGACCGAGCGGCGCAAGTTTGGCGCCGAGGGCTGGAACAGATCTTACCCCTTCAGCAACGGGGACCTGACCATATCGGTTAACGTCCTGTACAACTACCTGGAGGCCAACCCCAGGGTAAGGTTCTCCCGAGTGACCACGGCCCAGCTCAAGACACACCACGACAAGCCACCCTGTTTAAACAAAGTCCTCAGTTTGGGGCACAAACGCCTCCTCTTGAGGCAGCTCTTCCCGCCTCCCTGCTCTGGCAGGTGAAGGGGCGACAGAGCTGGGTTGGGGTTGGTTTTTTTTTTAAATCCCTTTCCACCTGAGCGAGGAAGCCTGTCTCCAGAATGAGCCACTCCCTGCAGGTGCCGTGGGACGATCTCCGGTACCTCTTCGGTGAGATCATGTACGGGGGCCACATCACGGACGACTGGGACCGCCGGCTCTGTCGCACTTACCTGAGCGAATACATCCACGCGGAGGCGCTGGAAGGGGACGTGTTCTTAGCTCCAGGGTTTCGGATCCCTCCCAGCTTGGATTACGAGGTAAGAAAGATTTTAACGTTGGAATTTACTGTGGAAAACCACTGCTCTGGATAAACGCGCACTAGCCAAAGCTCCCTCATGCTAACCATGGGGGGATGTGGGGAAAAAGAAGTTTCCTGTGGAAACATGCAGAGTTGCTGCAAAAATAATTCCTGTGGCTGGGATGGTTTGGGGGAAAACTTAGGTAAGACATGAGTAAAAAAACCCCTCCTGAGTTAAGCACCGCCAGCTGCCTGGGAAACGCCACAAAAGGGCGTTTTCGTTCCTCCTTGGTACCCACCTGCTGAACTAAGGGCGGCGCCCGCCCTGCGCGCAGGGTTACCACAGGTACATCACGGAGAACCTGCCGCCGGAGAGCCCCCACCTGTACGGCCTCCACCCCAACGCGGAGATCGGCTTCCTGACCGCCGCCTCGGACAGGCTTTTTCGGACCCTTTTGGAAATGCAGCCCAAGGAGTCAGACGCTGGAGGAGTCTCGGGTGTCTCCCGCGAGGAAAAGGCAAGTAAAGTTCTACGCTGCACAGCGACGGCTCAGAGGCCAGGCGGGGACGAGGTGGGGAGGTCAGAGCTGAGGAACTGTGAACCCCCAGCATTGTCCCTCGGGTGAGAGCCGTTCTCTGCAGGTGAAGTCAGTCCTGGAGGAGATCGTGGCGAGGCTGCCGGAGCCGTTCAGCATGGCCGAGCTCATGGCCAGGGCAGCGGACAGGACCCCCTATGTTGTAGTCGTCCTCCAGGAATGTGAAAGAATGAACATCCTGACCCAAGAAATGAGGCGCTCCCTGACAGAGTTAGACTTGGGACTAAAGGTAGGGGTTAGGCAGCGCGGGGGGACCGCGGGGCCGGGCAGCACCAGCCTCCTGCTCCGGGACGACTCCGAGACCAAACGCTTCCGGCAGCCTCGTCTTCTTCAGACAGAACTGCCCCGACTTTTCTCTTTTGTAAAGGGAGAACTAACGGTCACCGCCGACATGGAAGAGCTGGCCAACGCGCTCTTCTACGACACCGTCCCTGCGCCCTGGGCACGTCACGCCTACCCCTCTCTGCTGAGCTTGGGAGCCTGGTACACAGACCTGCTCCTGCGGGTCCGGGTGAGCAGGTTTCTTGAGAAAGTTAAAGCAGAGAGCACAGAAGAATCACCTCCATCAGTGCAGAGTGGTTAACTGGTTTATTTTCCAATATTAATTTAAGCAGTTTGAAGTACCTGGAATGGCCTGTTACCCCAAGAACGAGAGCAGAAGTTTGGAAAGGGTTCACCCTAGAGTACAGCAGCGATTCAAAAGAACGTTAGCTAACACCATCGTAACTTTATCTGTCCCAGAAGAAATATGTAATAAGCCCATCTATTTGAAGTGTGGCTTTGTTAAAAAAAACAATAGCAGTATTTACTGCAATCCACATGAACGGTTGAAGTTTCATTGCTGCAGTGGAATCTGCTCTTTATTTGTCACAGACCACCCCCATCCTAGCCTCCCCCCCCAGGACCACCCGAAGCTCGTGTTTGGCACCGAGACGCCCCGTCCCAAAGCCGGACTCTGCTGCCCAAAGGCCACGCTTCCCGCGGACGGACTTTGCTGGTTTTGTTTTCCAGGAACTGGACGTCTGGACAACAGGCTTTGCGCTGCCCGCGACAGTGTGGCTGTCGGGATTCTTCAACCCCCAGTCCTTCCTCACGGCCGTCATGCAGTCCACGGCCAGGAAGAACGAGTGGCCCCTGGACAAGATGTGCCTGGCAGTGGAAGTGACCAAGAAAAACCGTGAGGATATCACAGCTCCCCCCAGAGAAGGAGCCTACGTGCATGGATTATTCATGGAAGGTAAAAGACTGAATCTTTTCTGAGATGTTTCAGACATGGAGAAAGCCCAAGTTCAGCCTTAAAAGTTCTTGCAAACGGAGCGGGTGTTGGCACTCACTGTGCAGCTTTTGCAGCAGCTCTGAAAAGCAGAGCCTCTGTCCCCCGCTCATGTCAGGCACTCGCCAGCTGAGGGCAGCACCCGGCCGTTTGCAAGAGGAGTTTCACAAACTAGAAACTGTTTTCTTGGAAATTCAAACTGCGTACCACGCACTGAGGACGGGTTGTCTGAAGCTACATGGTTCTAGTGAATAAGCTCTTACTCGATGTGTGAGAGACAAATCAGGAAACTCAGAACCTAAAAGAGTTAGTGCTAAAAGTGAGGGGGAATGAGATGGCAGCACCGGCAGAGCACCCCAGGGGCCCCCCTAAACAAGAGCACAGACCACGCAGGGCAGATCCTCGCAGCCCCCACCGCGGGCAAGTTCCACCTTCAGCCGCGCAACCTTGGTGCAAACCCAAGCTGAAGGGCTGAGCGGGGACAGAATTTATTTAGCCCCCCCGAGTAAGGCGAAAGGCATTCGGGGGTCCCAGCTGATGGGACCGTAGGCCCTAACAAGTGCGGAGCCGCTCCTGGCAGCCCGTGCCCTCGCAGGCGCTCGCTGGGACGCGCCCGCGGGCGGGATCGCCGACGCGCGCCTCAAGGAGCCGGCGCCGCCGATGCCCGTCATCGCCGTCAGAGCCGTCCCTGCCGCCCGCCTGGACACCACCAACGGCTACGAATGTCCCGTCTACAAGACACGGATGCGAGGTCCCACCTACGTCTGGACCTTCAACCTGAAGACAAAAGAAAGAGCCGCTAAGTGGATCCTTGCTGCTGTAGCTCTGCTCTTGCAGACCTAAACGTCAGCGACTGTGGGAAACAGCAAACGCTTTTACCTGCAAAAAACCTCAAAGCTGTTAACTCAGACTAAGTTTGATTGTGCCAGAACTCTTTTAGCAAAGCATCAATAAAAGCCGTGCTGGAACCGCTGTCCTGTGGCGACTGCTCTTACAAGGCGCGCAGGTTCTGACGGGGGACGCTGGTTTCCAGCGGGTGGTTTCTGATGAAGTGCTGGGTGGGAGCCAGACCACCGCAGGAAGCCAAACGGAACAACCCCCCGTAACCACCCGATCCCTGCCCGCCGCTCTCGGTCCTTCCACAGCGATTTGTCTGTCTGGTCTCTCAGTGCTAACTGCGAGCAGCAATCCCTCAGGACGCGTGCGTGGCCCGTTCCCGCGGGGAAGCATGTGTCTGTTTAGACCAGACGGAAGAAGAAAGGTGCAGATTTGGCCCCGTTCACCAACACGACAACCTGTGCGACCCAAAGCAGTCCAGCCACACACAGACCCATCTCTGAAGTAGGTTTCTTTCTGTTTCTGGGTTACAGGATCTACTCTGCCCTTTCTTTCACAACAGAGGATCGGTATCAGCTGTAACACCCATTAGGGTGATCAGATCTGCTCTGGCCACCATACAGAAGCCAGTGCCTGTCCCTTTATCATAAAATAATTCACCAAAATCCCACCCCATGCAATACCTGAACAACTAGTTCTAAAGTGCAGTTGTGTAAAACTTCCCCTCCAGGCAGTGGTTAAGAAAGGCCACAAGGGCAGGCAGGCAGAGCCGCTTGCCTCTCCATAAAGCTGTGGCATTTAGAATAAATTACCATTAAGCTTTAGAGTTACCTTCAGCTTTTCCAGGCGTCAGAAATCCCTTCTCTTGGCAATACAAGATCAGAACTCCCTGCACATACCCCAGAAGCAAAACTCCCCTGTGCTCTACCGCCCTCGGACCTGGCTCCCAACCAGCTTCTTTACAGCCACATGTTACAGCCTGAGCCTCCCGTTTCCAGTAACATCCCAAGATCATGTTTGCCCCAAAAGTCCTCTCATGCCTCTCCGTGATTCACTAAAGACACTCTTAAACATCTTACTGTGACGAAGGCAGAGCCAGCGCCAGAGATGGAGCCGTATCTGCGTAGATACAGGGATGTGTGAGCACTCAGCACCAAGGGCACACACTTCGGTGCCAACTGCACGGCCCACGTGCGCAGCACAGAAAAAGAAACCCAAGAGCGATTCCCTGAATCTCAGGAGGGCTCCAGTTACTGGGCAGCTGAACAGCCAGGCAACTCCAGGACACTGCCCCAAGTAGAAAAGCAACAACAACTGCCCCTGTTAGCCAACATCTACAAGGTTAAAGCAAAGCGCTGGTCAGATAAAAACAGGACCAAACACTTTAAATATTCCAACAATGTTTTCTGTTAGCTGGTCACGTTAAAACACAGTCCCTCCCCACAAAACTCTGAAAGGGACGTTTCAGAAATGGAAAATGGCAAATACCCCTGGATGGGGGTTCTCTTTCACTGACCCCTCCAGATATCCTAGCAGATGAAACCCAGTACAGGCCTTGAGCAGTGGGCCTAGTCTGTGGCCAGTGTCCCAGAAGAAGAGAGAGGGAGCTGGTTTTTCCCACATCATCTGTATTTCCATCACCTATTTCTTCCACATGACAGAGTAGGGCACTTACTAACTGTAGTCAGTGCAACACAAATTCCCTATCAGAATGGCAGAAAACTCACCCAAAGCAGCAACTTTTCTTCTTTCAAAAGAAATTCTTGATCAGAGGTGTTACCAGCTTCACCCACAGTTTCACATAACGATTCGGCTGTTCAAATGTTGATGAGGAGACCACACCTGAGCAGAGGTAAAGCTGCTCCTGCTCCTGTACAGGGAAAAAAACATCGTCCCGGTGAGTCCTAAGTGTTAAATTATAGAATGGCCTTTAAGGAAAGCGAATTCTCAGGTAAAACTGGCCGTGGATCCTGCCAACAGGACGCAGCATTTCTCCCACGAGCCTGAACACAAGATTCTCCTCCCATGGGCCACAACTCCCTGAGCACCCAAACCCCAGGGAGGCGGCGTGGGACCTGCCCTTCCCGTCCGCCCGGCGCTCCACCTCTGATGGCTGCAGCGCACCTGCAACCCGCCGCAGAATTGGCAAGTTAAACTCCACAAAGAGCAAAGGCAGAAGGTTTTGCCTCGTTGCGCCCCGCAGTCGCAAGAGAGCTAAGCCTGTTTCAGAAAAATCCTAAATCCCTCACTGTAATTGCCAGAAAAGGAAACCTCGCCATAATCTCAAGAGATGGCTTAGGCAGCTCTTTCTAGACACAGCTCAGGCGCTGCGTTTTCAAATGAATGTGCAGTCATGACTTCAGCTGAATTACCAGAAACACTTGGGCTTCTCCGGGGTGTACACAACCCTGCCGAAGGAGGAAATGAGCCATCGTGATGATAATACGGCTCGCCCTGCACGTGAAAGCAGCTCTTTGATCAAAGGTAGAAGCAGTTTTCTGATCAAGGCCCGTCAGGTTTCTAGATTTGCAGGCAAGCAAGGAGCAGACCATCTACTCATCTTTCTTTTCACTAGCTAAGCCGTCACAAACAGCAGGAGGCACTCTGCACTGTTTAAACTCAGGGTTGAACAGGGAAGAGGGAACCAAGGACGGGAAAGCAACACCAAAGAGATGAACCGACAACAGAAGGAAGACGTTTGTGCGCCAAATCAGTCTAATTTTAGAAAGCCCAAATGTTCCAAGAGCTACAGTCAGCCCTGCTGTGAAGCATCTGCACCGTGGTCATCTGATGCTCTGAGGTCATCCAGCCACTTCCATCTGAAGTTCAGTTCATTCAGTGGAGCACTCAGAGAAACCCAGACCACTCAGATCGCTTCCCAAATCTCATCACACATTTTTAAAATGGAACTGAATGTTACATAGGCAAAGTGATTTTGTGGCAGCATACCAGCAATGTATTAAGTCCTCTAAACAAAGACACAGAGCAGTAAACAAACAGCCAATCTCAAAATCAGCTTCCAGCAAACGGGAATGGTTTAAAGCCCTTTAAATTAGATCACTGCAGCACTGTGTGAGAAAATTCCCGTGTCATATTTTCATTGATTCTCCCCTTCCATTAGAAACAAGTAGAGGCAAGATATGAATTGAAATATTCGAGCAGCTCTTCCAGTAATAGAATTGTTTTTGATTAGTTATACTCTGACTCATCCTGTGGAAGAGCCCTGATGCAATAGGGCAATTCCCATTGATCTCAAAGACAACTGTGCCTGCTTCTGCCAGGACGTGGCTTCACAGAAAATTTCTGAGATCCCCAAGTCATGCACAGAGGCACCAAACCAATCTGCTTTGTGTCAGAGCACATCATGAGAAATTACTGGGGACGCTGTCAGTTCCAGCAGAGGATACAAAGACAAGACAGCTGGAGAATCAGACAGGATTTAGAGAAGCGGCAAAAGTGCCGAGCAGTCCAAGCTGCCTGATTAAAAAATAAAAAAAAAAAAAAACGAAAAAAACCCCCGGGACACTGAACATTAAACCACCAAAAAATGTTTGTGTCAAGATTCATGTTATTATTCAAGGTTATATAATAACTTCATGGGCAACGCAACCAGCCCCAAAATCCTCTCCCTGCAGGAACTCCAGTAAGATCCCCCACCTTTGCTCACCTCCACGGCCTGCGGGCAGCCCCCCAAAAGCCAACTGACTGACGTTTCTGTTCCTACAGAGGATTCACCAAACGCCTGAGAAGCAAAATCCTCCAGCAGGCCAAGATCAGCAACCCAAAGGGCCTGACCTCCGTGTGCCAGAGCACAGGGCGAGCTGGCAGTGCCCGCATCCCGGGGACAAGGCCCCCGGGACCCGCGAGCCTCCCCGAAAGCCGTGGCTCAGCATCCAGCGCCTGAGCACTCCCCACGCTCGGGTGCACTGGGGACAGGTGCTCTTTCCCGCTATGGCCTCCATTTCCCAGAAACAGGCACTTGCAGCAGGCATCTCATCAATAGTCACTTAACTGACAGCTCCCGGAGACTTCCTATGCTCAAGAAGGTTTTGAATTATTGTGGCTGTAGGTTTTTATTGCGACTGCGTCATCAGCATTCCCCGTGTGAGCAAGCAGCACAACATCCACGTTATCTCCCCGGGATCAGCCACTTACCTGATGGAGCTGCCGCTGCAAAGCTTTGTTTTCTGTCACTATTGCAACCTGAGCTTCCAAGTCACGATGAACCGAGCGATATCCGAAATTCGGCGAGCCAATGAGCGTCAGGCAGGGAAGATCGCTCCCTGCCAGGTACAGCCAGAGGCCTGCAGGGAAAACAGGAGAAAGGAAGACAAAGGGAACGACCGGGGAAGCCTCACACAGTCGCTTCACTCGGGGTCAGTTAGACACGTTAGGTTACGGACGCTATAAAAGATGAGGACGCCAACCAAGGTTCCTCCCAGACGGCCCAGCGCGTCTTGCTGAGCTTCGTACGAACCTCGGGGCACCCCTGCACAGGTTGTGCTGCCCAAATTGTGTGCTCCTAACGGGGGGGCTGCAGCGCGCCCAGCGCCGCCCGAGGGACACGTTCTGAAGAACGGAAATACACTGCGGGGGGGGCCCCAAATTCATCTACAGTGAGTCACTACCGTCGGAGGTCATTCTGCACCACGGCACCTCAGAAACACTGAAATAAGACAAACAGGTTTTCAGTGAAGGAAAACCTACACCCAGGGCGGCGGGCAGGCGAGCCAGGCCTGGAGCAGTCGGCTCCAGAGCAGGAACCAGCAGCCACACGGCGCCCGAGATCACACACGGCGCTGACGTGAAGAGGCATCTCCCTGCTCTGGCAGGTGGATTCACATGAACTAAAGCCTCGTAAGAGAAGTGCAAATTATTACACCCCCTCACTTCCTGAGGAGCCACCTGAAGATGAAATCGAACCCTTGCCGCTCACCACCGCGGTTCACACACGCCAGGAGCATATGACCCACCCCAGGGCTGTTTTTTCAAGCCCAAGACAGAGACACCGTGCTAGTGTTAAGCACATGACTGCAGCACAGCAGGGAGGAACGGCCCGGGATGCCACAGGAGAGCCAGGACGATGGCCGAGGAGAGCCTGCATGGCCATTCTGTGTACGAATGGACCCGAGAAGTGTCTGCCCTCGCCTCAGCCCTGGGGAGCTCAGCACGGCCCTGGGCAGGTCCCCGAGAGATGGCTGATCCCTACTGCCAGTCACACAAAGACTACAACAAAGAAACTGCGGCACAAAAAACACCTAGTCCTTAAAATAGAAGCAGGTTTCCTAACTCAACCCCAGGGCAGTTCCAAGAATGCCTTGAGTAAGAAGCTGCCGATTCATCGCCGGTTCCTGTAACCTCCTCCCCGCCCCCACAGCGCACACACTGCTCTCAGTCCCGCTCCCGGCCCCGGGTGCCGACTCCTCCACGGGTCCCGCCGTGCTGCCGACACGGGGGGCTGCAGGAGGCCCCCAGGAGGCGCAGGGATTCGCCAGGTTCTGCCCCCAAAGAGGACGCTGCCGGGGGCCAGAGCTCTGCGGGGCAGCAGCCCCGAGGAACACGCTGCCTCCCTCTTCCCAAGCAGTCAGTCACGCGGCGGCCCTAAAGCCTTTATGGTCTCTCTGGCTTTATGGCCACCTGGCAGGATCTGCTCAAACAGTGACTCACCTTTCCAGAAAGGGGAAGCGCCGGTTCCCAGCCGCCGTTCAATAGCAGTAAGGCAGGTTTATCTCGGAGCAAAGAGCCACGCTCTGTCACCCGGCACTTGCATGGAAGGGACCCTAATCCTAAAGGCTGTGCCCGTGTCACCCACGCCACCACGCCCGGAACTGCAGCAGAGGACGGGCAGGTGCGTGCTGCTGCACCACGTTCTGCCCAGGGAAGCCTCTCGCGTTGCAGAGGTTTGTTTCCTACTCACACGTGCCCTGAACGGGGCTGCCACAACCGCGCCTGCACGGAACGGACCTGGGGACAGACGTGACCCTGGTGGGAATACACACTGCAGGAGGTTGTGTGTGAGGACACAACGTGCTCCAAGAGGAGCTGGAAGGGTTTACAAAACAGCACAGGGTCTGGTGTAAACCAGGTAGGTCCTACAGGAGAGTAAAGGCTGTCTTTCACCTTAGCCCGAGAGGGAAATACTCCCGGGCAGCATTTGCTGTGAGGGATCTCACATCCTCTTCCAGGAGCCAGAGTCCATGTGCAACGGCCCTTCATCTGTCCCCAGGGTTTCCTCCTCTCCCCTCCTCTGCCCCGTCCTCCCTTTCCCACACACTGCCTGACTCCTGCAGAAGGAAGCCGGGTGAACCGAACGTGTGCCAAAGGGCAGAGCGTGCCAGAGAAGGGAGCTACGAGCTGATCCTTCCAGCACTCCGGAGAGGAAACGGAAACAAGGCAGCAAACATCTCCGAGCGTCCCTCCTGCCAAGCGCAGGAGCCGCTGAGCTCCGAGTCCTGCATCCCTCTCGAGGAGAAAACCACGCAGCAGGCTGAGCCCGGGGCACTGCCACGAGAAGGCGCAGCTGGCCCGGAGGGACTGACTGCCACATGCACTTGGGTAGCATGGAAAAGCAGCCCGTGCCTTCCCAGCACAGCCCCTGCCAAACCACAAAATCCCACTCGCAGTCAGCAGTGCCCAGCAAGGGGGGGAACATGCCAACCACAGGTCACTCGAGCACGTGCTTCCAGGAAGCCAGACCACACAGGCCTTCCCAGCCGGGCAGGCAGCTCCTGCAGGCCGCCCTGGCCTGAGATAAGGTTTTACTGCACCAGAGTTACCGATCTCGCAGCAGGAGGGGCACGACACTCCTCAGAAAGGGCTGCAGTTTCGACACAGGCAGCCGAGTAACACTCGTGCATTTTCTCTAGTCAAGAGGCCTGCCCAGCAGCATTCCCTCCCCGCCACCTCGGAACCTTCTGAGCAGCCCTGCAGGAAGCGGGGGCAGGCAGAGGCATCCCGCAGCCAGGAACAGCTCGTCTCCTCCAACAGGAGAACTCCGGCACGGGAACAGGCTGGAGCCGGGGGCCGAGTCCTTCCTGTGCTCACATCAGGCTGGTGCTGCAAACAACGGAAACGCCCCTCGGAGCACCACAAACCCCACGGGGGACACGGGCACGGGCACCCCTGCCAGGCCGGCGGCTCTTACAGTAAGGGAGCTGCCCGGGGACGGCGAGGCAGCGCAGCAAGTGGCAAGTGCCAGGGCGCAGAGCCCTGCCCGCAGGGGACCAGAGCTGAGGGACACGGCGGAGGGCTGAGCTCGGCCAGGGCCTGCCCAAGCACGGCGTTCCACTGACACACCCCCGCCTGGGAAGAGCGCACGAACCTCGCTATGAAGAGTGTCACGTGCGTCGGACTTCTCCAAAGAGCCCTCAGTTTAGGGGGTTTCCTAAGATATTTACATTACTATAATCTAAAACTGAGAAAACAAATACTTACTACTGCGTATAAAGTAGGAGAACATGAGAGTCAAGGGCTCCATTTTCTGGAAAGAAAGTTTAGAGACACAACCAGCGACAACCAGTCACGGGAAAATATTCATGCTTTGGTCAAGGTGGCACTGAGCCTGTCAAAGTTGTACACAATCTACCAAACACGAAAGAATCTGGGGTCTTCTCCAGGAGACCACGATGGCACTACTAATTACTGTTGTTTATTATTAACTACATTTGTGAAGCAATATTCATTTCTCAGCAACTTCCCCTCCAGCTGCCTCCAGCTCCCAGAAGGCACACGGGTGCAGCTATTCCCGATGCTGCACTTTCCTGTGCGCCGTAAAGAGAAGTTGGTACAAATTCCTCAACCTGCACCACCCCCAGGGGGTCCTGCTGCCACGAGAAGGCGGCGCCCAGGACCCTGGGAGCTCCCGTCCCGCCTCTGCCGTGGGTCCTGCCCTGGGGTCCCCAACACAGCCCTCGCTCCTCGCGGCCAAAGCTGGCAAGAGGGATACAAGAAACCGCACCACAACTGTTGCTGCGGCCATAAATACACCCAGACGCCTCCTTTTCTTTCACGTCAAGTTTCCATCCAGACAGCACAGGGACAACTCTTGTATAATCCCTGGACTGTATTTGAATCAGAAGTCGAGGCAAGACAGGACTTTGCTTGGTCGTCCTGAGGGATGCAAACGTTGCAGGCTTACGCAAGCGAGGTGTTTGAACCTGGGGTGAGTGCTGTGGAGGTTAAGCCTCGACTCAGCACCCAGCCATCCCCTCACTAGTTGTGCAACCCAGCTACGTGCAAGACTCAGGCGCCTCCTGAACTCTCGGGAAAGGGCCGCCTTACCTTTGGCGTGGAAGGTCCACCCAGGCCTGGAGTACTCCTGCAGCCGGACCCTCTGCTGCTGCTGCAGGTAGCAGACCTCGCTGTAAAACTGGTGTTCGATGTACACGTAGGCGGCGGGAATGGCACCGGCCACCCCTTTGGCACCGAAAAACCCGTTCACCTCCGGCGCGGCCAGAAGGATCTGGTACTCAGCCCTGGTGCCCAGGATCAGGTCCATGTAAGCCTGCGTCAGGTTGAAGTAGCCGGTGGTGAGGTAAATCCTGGCGTCCCGCTCAGCCTCTGTCAGCAGCGTCTCCGTGACCATCTCATCTATCTGAATCCCAAAAGGCTTCATCTGGATTAAGGGGTAGATCCAGGTGTCGGGTTCTGGTTTCAGAGCCCCAGAGGCTGGCGAGCCTTGCTGGGACAGCGCGGAGCTGCCCTGCTGGCTGCTGTGGAACGTCTTGGCGTGAAGGAGTTCCTGCCGTGTCCTGGCAGAGTTGATCACCTCCATGACTCTTCGGTTTGCTATCTCACAGTACGCCGCCTTGTCTCCTGCAGGAAAACCAGGGAGATTGTGACTGAGACCCAAAGGTACAGAGCTACAGGTCAGCTGTTCTGCAGCAGGAAAAACTGCCGACAGGACACAGATATGAGAGCAAAAAGGAGCTAACACAAAGACCACGCATCTTTCTTCCCTAAGTCTCAAAAACAGATGCTTTAAGGTAAGCAAAGCTACTTTAGAGAAAAAAAATACTCAGTTTTAAGAGAGGTAAAAAACTTGACTAGCCACAGCTTGAAAAATCCACTGAGAAAAGACCAGGGCAAAGCTAAAACGGTAACCAAGAACAAACTGGAATACACACAGTCTAAGCTTACACCACGGAGCAGCGCACAAGGCCAGGACAAACACTTAGGATGCAATCAGCCTGGCAGGTAGATGCCCTTCTCTGCCCTCTGCAGCGCTTGTTCTTGGGCTTCCTAATCCAATATTCATCTGATTCCCAGAACAGACCTGACTACAAAATATTAATTACCAAAAATAGCACTACATTCATGAAACTTTCAGAATATGTACACACGGAACTTCTAGAATTACAGACATTAATATCAAAAATAGAAAGAACCTCTCAAGGAATTTAAGCTCTTGTTTAAGGTCACAAGCAGGAGAATAACAAAGAAGCAATGAAACTCTCTGCCGGATTAGCTGGCGATAGCGACTGCGCTAGGAACCTTCTCACAGCTCCAGCCTCACAGCTCCAGCAGTCTGGATTTTTAACAACGGATGGCACAGAAATGGGACACCCCACAGCCTGTAAACACTGGTCGGACACTCAGCAATTCACACGTGGATGGAGCTCGAGGCGCCCTTAAACCCCAGCTGTCCCTCCCCTCCTCTGGATCGTATCACCCAGCTCCCTCCTACCCTGGTAGGGATGCACCATCCCCTCCAGCATCTGGACTGTGTCATCTCGCTGTAATTGCAGAGACACGTCTCCAATGGCATCCACTAGCTCCGTGAAGAAGTCTGAAATCTCAGGAGAGTCCTGCAGGAGAACATAGCGGTCCTGACGGTTGGTGAAGTACAAATCACTCAGGTTTGCGCTAGGAGAGAAAAAGAAGAGTTCCAGAACAGAGCCCAGGCATGTGATCCTGAGCACCCCAGCCTAGGCTACAGATCTCGCTCTGCACAGAACTGGACTAAAGTACAAATCAGCCATTTCCTTCTGAAACTCGAGAAATCTCTCTTTGCTCCTTTTGAGAAAGTCTCTTCCATACGAGAATCTGACACGGAAGAGCCGTGGCTGAGCTCGCCTCGCCACCTCAGCTAAAGGAACCACGTCAGGGCCCGAAGAGGCAGGACTCACCCGCTCAGGATCACATTATCATCAAAGAGATAGACCTTGATGTGCTGCAGTCCAATGGTCTCATTGAAACGCTCTGGGATCAGGAGCCTGAGAAGGCCACGAAGGTTTGGGGTGTGGAAGAGGGACACACGGACTTGCTCGGGAAATCGCTGCAGCAACGGAACAAGCATGGTTCGAGAATTCTTCCTGCCTGGGAGAGAAGGGGGCTGTCACACACAGGATGACAGCGCGGCACCGCAGCTCTGCGCCTCGAACCTGGTTACAGAGGGATCACCCCTCTCCTCCGCCGGCGCCTCCCACCGGCACTCTGGGGTTTGGCTTTCCAGTGGCTTTCACTCGCACTATGTCAAATTCTGACACCCAGAACTGTAAACTCTCTGATGAATGGGCCTCGGAACCGCTCCCCGAGAAGGTCTGACACCATTCAAGCTGCGACGCCCAGACCAGCAACACGTGCTACAGAGTCACCACAGAGGGTTCTGGCTAAGCGTACTGCTACTTCCAAGGACTCCCACTTCCCTTTAAACATGAAAATGTAAGACGGTGTGATGGATACGGGCAAAGGCACTGGCAAGGGAACTAAGCAAGAAAGCCCAAGCTGCACAGAGCAGAGTTTGGCCCTGCTCGCTCCTACCACCTATTTTCAGAAGAAAAGCTGCTTAGCTTGAAGATTCTCTGGGAATAAGTAGTTCCTGGGATACAAAAGGCCAGTTTTAAAAGGTATATGATTTAAACGAGTAGATCCAACTGGTCAAGACAGCCTCTCTCTGAAAAAACAGTTTATACAGCCTAACTGTAAAATAAGCCTTTGAAGAAAGCAAAGCATCACAATATCTACCCCGAGATCCCCTGGTGTAGTCAAGGAGAATGGAAACTCTGAGGTTAGACGATCCTTTTGCTTGCAGTGATTTCTCCAGCGTTTCTTCTAAGCAATCCACCTGCAGAGAGAGATTTCTCTACTCACGACAGAAAGTAAATCAAGTTTTATAAAAACAAAAGCGCTCAGCAGCCAGGAGGCTGGTGGCCATGAAGGCTCCCACACCCTAGTGCAAGTCTCCTACTTGTGCACAACGGCGCTAGTTCAGGCTCTGCTCCCACTCAGTCAGCCTAAAGCAACACCTGAAAGGGCATCGATTTCACACTGCACATCCTTCACGCCTCTGAAGAGCGATTGCCATGTAGCACATCCTTCCCAAACCACAGGTTTGCATCACCAAAGAGAAACCCTGGTAGGAGTTCACAGCTGACATGGAGGCAGTTTTATTCCTCAACTACAAGGCGGTTTGTCACGTGCAAATTCAAACCTTGTGTACAAGCCCAGACAAAGCCAGGCACAAAACCCTGGGCAGGATCTGTCCACCTTTACCCTGCTGTGGAATTTGCATCCTAACACAAGAAACAGCCAAGGCCAGGCTTCTCCCTAAAGGTCTTAGGTGATGCTTTTGTTCCTAAACAAAAGGGAAGGAGGGAAGAACAGGAAACAGAAAAAGGAGACAACAGGAAGCAAAGCTGACTTAAATGCAGAGAGCTAATCCTGCATCTGCATTCTGTACTTGGAGGGCAAAACAGCCCTACATACACACAACTTCAATCACGTTCAAGAAAAATTCCAGAAAAAAAAATAAAATTATCCATGATCCCACAGTTACATAAAATCCCCTTTGACCGCTGTGCCAGTAACCTCTAGCAGCCTGGAAGATCCAGGCTCATTATCCCCTGGCAAAGTGCAGCAGCTCCAGGGCTCTGTACTAGGTCTAAAACAGAAACCCCATGTGCCTCCCTCCCAAACTCCTCCCTCCCCCTGTCCAACACACCAGTGCAACCAGGAACCCCGAGAAAACTCTCAGGGAGAGGAGAAAACACGTGTAAAGTGAATCCCTACAGGAAAGTTTTAAGCTACAAGCTCACAGACTGCACCTCCCATGAACCTCGTGTCCCTGCCTGAGCAGGATGCTTCTGGCAAAGGTGTGCATTTCCTCTCTGCGTGCACTTCCCCCCCTTCCCAAGCCCTTCCCACACTCACCAGCTCCTGTTCAAGAAGCCCCGTTCCCAAGTACAGCGAAGCCATCACCACTCGCTGCTTGGCTGTTTTTATCTGCACCTGGGAGAAGCAGAAAATAATTTCAGTTTCCTCCTGGGTCTCTGTGATCACTGGGAGCTCACGATCCAGACCACACAAGAGCTGTGGTCCCCCGAGGAGCATCACTTTAGCCAAATCACAGCACCGCCTCCCTCGCCTTGCAGCAGGAAAGGCACGAGGAAAACACTGAGAGCAAAGATGTAAAACACACAGGTCTTTACCATCGCTGCACCCGAACCAAGGAAGAAGTCAAGGCTTTCTGCAAAACTGAGGAACACATTCCTGGCACCTAAAACTGCCACATACAAAAGCAGTTACCAGGCAGCAGCTGCAACACAGGGATTGTATCAGCACTGGCAATCCCAGCTTTCATTCCACAGCTGCTTTAATCCTCTGTGCCCCGTGAGCGAGCCAGAACCAAGACACCTCTGTCTGCAGAGCTCCCCTCCTCTCCCTCTGCTCACCGATGCTGCAGGCCCCCGAGCCGAGCCGTGTTCTCCACCAGCTTACCACGGTGACCTGAGATCACCTTTCAGAAGTGCTGGATCGTGCTTTAAATACACACTGGGAAAAGACTCGAGCAACCGAGCTGAACAAAGAGTCTCACCCAGGAGATGCAGCATTACAGACCTCACACTGTAATGACCCCGGAGACTGGGGGGGGATGGAGGGAGCCGTGCTCGGTCGTATTGCAAAGAGGAGGCCCAAGGCTGATCTAACAGCAGCCCGCAACTCCCTGAAGAGTAGTTACAAAGATGACGGGGCCAAAGTCTTCTCAGTAGTTACAGCTGAGCCACAGCCACAAACACCTTTGGGAAGTTCAGGTCTGACACCGGAAAAAACCTGTAACCTGCTGAGATGGCGCCGCACAGGAACTGCTCACCCAGAGGCAGAGCTCCCTCCTCAGCCATTAGGCTCAGCCGGACAAAGCCTGCCTGACCTGATCTAGCGTTGACAACAACCCTGCTTCAAGTAGAAGCCTGGACTAGTCCCCTGCAGGGGCTCCTTCCTAACAGCGCTGTGATTCTCCACGACCACTGCAGCTCCCAGCCCCCAGAAACCATCCCCGCAACTCACCTTCAAGAGCTCATAGAATTCAGCCGGGGATGAAAGCACCTTGACGTGCGAGCTGGAGATCCCGAACTCTGGAACTAGATTCCTGATCCACTGGAACCTGTGTGCTCCCTCTGGACAAAGGGAACAAGGTGGGGCTGTGATCACGGGGACAGGAGGGCTGAGCAGTGGGGCTAGAAGCAGCCATGACGACCTGTGGAAAGAAAGATGGAGGAATTCTTTATGGTGGAGCCTTTGCTCCCCACAAACAGCCTCCAAGGAGGTGAAGAGCGAGCTGCAGCCAGGGCCAATACACTGTAAGGATCCACGATGGCAAGAACGTGTCACCGTAATCCCAGCTGAACCACCAAAGCCAAAGCTAGAAATAGAAGAACCCAGGCAAAAGGTGGGAGAACTGATCTTAAGATCATCAGCTCCGTCCCCTAGCTGCAGGGGAGCGAGGGGAAACAACTCTTTCGCATCAGAACAGGAGAGGAAAGGGGCTGGAAGCTGGAGAAAGCGAGGGCTGAGCTCTCCTGCCCACCCACAGAGCAGGGCCCTGGGGTACGGGCTGTACCTGACCCGCTCGCTCCTGAACTGTCTCTAGCACACAGGCATCAGCTCTGCCACGGCCAAGTCTAGCTGGGCTAAAGATCAGCTCTCTCTATTTCAGGTAAAGATTTTTTAAAATCACGCTGCTCTAAAAGTTCCCTAACAAAACAGAAAAATGCCTCAATCCCTCAAACTTGTCCAAAAAAAGATCGACAACAGGCAAAGTGCCCGAGGGCGAGTCCTAGCAAAAGCAGTGGAGTCACAGCACCAGGACGCACCAAAGGGTCGAGCGTGCTCCAACAGGTAGGAGCCAAGAACCACAACTGAGAAACACGAGGTGGCCCTCTACAAGGACGCCGCTCACCCTCTGCACAAGTATTAAACGATCAAGACTTCTCTCGCAAGCTTCAAAGTAACTGTAAGGGCAACAGCAGGAAGCTCATTCTTTAAAAGTAAATTTCAGAACAAATTTAATTCCTTTGAAGTCACTCAGGGAAGAAACCAACTCCGTGTTAACACGCTTAGGGGGCTGACAAGAAGCAAATGGCATCTTTCCTTCTCTGGAGGCTTCACGCACACAAATTCATCAAGTTGTACAATAACCCCTGGCCAGAGCCTGTCCGCGTGACAAAACCACATTTCAGCACAATTAGCAGCAGCAACTCCCGTGAGATCCAGGAAAAGGAAGGGACTGAACTGCATCCCCGGACCTGACAGAAAACATTCCGGCCCGCAAATCCCACTGGCAGGAGTCAGACTTGCTGTCAGGGCAGAGCCGAGGCGGCTGGTCCCGCCTGGAGGAAAGCCAGGTCCCTGGGGCCAACAGGCAGCCACCGTCCTGTGACCCATCCCGATGCTCTGCCACCACCACGTACCGAGAAGAAACTTGATTAGAACTTTTACCAGAATTTGTTACAAGGAACTTTTAGGTTTTACCACAATCCAAAGCCAAATGACCACAGATTCCAGGAAGATGATTTCACTCATTTGCTTCATGATAGAACACTGGATCTTCACAAGGTTTCTGAACACCCTTACGCAGAAGCCAGACAGTTTGCAGTTGCGTTTCCTGGAAAATCCACTAGTTTGTCACTGACTATTCATCGCAACAGAAATCTGAGTCAATTTGAGCAGGAATTCCTAGGATGGTGGTTTTCAACAGACCACGTGGGCCACGCTCAGACTTGACACCCAGCAGTTATACACATTACCAACACAGGAAATATTTCATAGAAGATGTTTAAAAAAAAAAAAAAAATCGAAGCAGAAATACAGGAAATACTGTTTTTCAAGCACAAACACATTTTATGATAACAATTAATCAGCAAGAGGAGACAAATATTTTCCTCATTATTCCATTGCTCAGTCTTGGCCAATTGGATTTCCAGAAGCCAGGACAGTGGCAGAGAAGCCACTTCCCAGAAACCAGGTTCTAAGAAGCCATTTTCTGGCAAAGGGTTTGAAAACTGCAAGTTGAACTGCACCTGCACCCTCAGTCTGCGCAGCCCAAGGGCAGGTCACGGAGTGACCAGGAGCTCTCCAGGCAGTCGGTCACCTCCGGGTGCTGCTGAGGGACTAAAACCGATCTGTGTCACCAGCACTGTGTGGTCTGAGCCTTCAGATTCATTCACGAGCGATGGATATCCACTAGTTCTGTGTGTTTTACTGCCTACACAGTGTATCTACACTGTTAGATCTTTTAATCCAACACTGAAATTTTAGAAGTTCTTTAGTGGTGAGAGCCTGAGGCTTTTATAATTATTAAATAAATCACTATCTTGCTCCAGCCAACAGTAACAACAGCACAGCAACCTCCTACCGAAGCGGCAGCTTCTACCCACCAGTGATTGAAAATAGCTCAAGCGACTACCCAAGTACAACACAATCCTTTCAACCGGCCACACACAACAGTCAGAAACCACGTAACGTTATGAAGAAATCACCAAAATTCCACACTTCAACAAACCAGCTTTCAGAGAAACAGAAAACGGAGCGGGGGGGGGGAGCCCTTCCCATGCACTCCACATCATCAAGTTAACCAGAAAGAGAAAACGGAACTAAAAGGAACCACCTCAAATCTTTTCTGCATAAAAAGTTGGTCCTAAATATAAACGAGGGATTTTTTTGTGTGTGTTCTATTTTTAAAAATTGTGGTTTGGGTGCACAAGCTCATGATGCAGACGAAACACTCTTATTCACTGTCAAACCTCATCTGCAGCCCCAGCGGTTACTGCAGGATCCGGCGCTGTCCCGCCCCCCCACACCTCACCACACAGCCCAGCTGCAAATCCCCCATCATTCAGCTGTCTCTTTCCAGGGCTCAGTCTAGTAATTTCTCTACGCTAAAAACACCGATGAAACCAAAAGAGAAGTTTGAAAAGAATTTCCTTGGCTTAACCAGGAACCCAGAACAGAACAGGGGCTAACATGGGGCTCTGAGACAGCAGCAAGACGACCGCAGCCCATGTGCTGCCCGGGGAGGAAAGGCGGGCGAAGGCACGCCGTGAGACGAGACACCACCCTCACAAAACCAGTTTAATTCACACAGAAGATGGTATCAGGCATCGCACTAACCAAAACGCAGAATCCTTCCAGTGCTCTTACCAAATACAGTGCAGAGTGATGCCCAAAGACTGGGGGGAAAGACCTTTTTTTTTTTTTTAGAGACTCCTTTGAAGCGTTTTGTTCAGTCACTTCTGAACTCAGGACGTGGTTCTACAGGAAAACCATCTCTGTTTCTTTAAGGTTTTGTTTTTAGCATGAACTAGACACCTGGTCACCCGGCCCCACCAAAGCCGTGGCGGCACGAAGCCAGCAGCAGGGATGAGAGAAGCTTCGGGGGAGCGTGGCTGCGGGCAGAGGGGCTGGAGGAGCCCGAGGCTGCGGCCAGGCGTTCCCTCCCTCCCTCCCGCAGCCACGCTGGCACCCAGAAGGGCAGATGTGGCACCCAGAAGGGCAGATCTGCCTCCCCACAGCTGTGCCCACCCCGTCCCTTCCTCTCCCCAGGGAAGGAGAGGGAGGAAAGGGAGAGTTTGGGCAGTTCTCAGAGACTCTCTGCCCAGCTGCCCGAGGCAGACGTCAGGAAGAGGAACGAAGGGAGACTGCCTCCCGCAGCAGCTCCCTCGGATCCGTTCGGAGCGAGGGTTCGATAATTCACCGACTCCAGCATCCAGAGCGGCCCCCTTCCCCCCTCACCTGCGGGACCGAGACCCGATCTCGTCCCTTTTCTGACGGGGGGATCCCACCTCCCACACAGAGCCCCGGGCCCCAGCCGGGGGCCGAGCAGCACCTGGGACAGCCGAGGCAGAAACCTGCCCCTAGCAAACGAGGGATATCGTTCAGCACCTGAAAGACAGCGGGAGCAGCGTAAATAAAAAAGGAAGAAATAAAGCCCGCCCCTCGCCCTCAGGGCGAACGGGCAGCGAGAGCAGCCTGACGGCCCGAAGCCGCCTCAAGGAC